CGTTTACACAGGTTTTACTGAATATATACATATATGCACACAACGTGACTCAAAAGTCAGTTAACTGTCTTATACGTAGGCTATATGCATTATATATCATAATATTTTTAATGTAGATAAGTATGGCTACATTTTAGTTATTACATTTATAAACTAATACAGTAAAATCTGTCCAAAACGAAACCTGTCAAAACGGGGAAAAATTCTTCGGAACGGTGCGATTCCGTTTTAGACAGGTTTTATTGTAATTTATAGGCATGTAATTAAGCTACATTTTTAAAAGCTATGATGTAATAGATTTTTATTATTTAAGTTAATAAATGTAAGATGAATTTTTCCCGAAGAAATTATCCGACTAATATATTCTAAAGGAAAATGTATTCTTTCTACTGATTGGTTGGAGATAAAACAATGATATGGTGTGATTGTCAGAGATACGGTAACATTATAATTATTTAAATTTTAATTTGATTAATCATATCTCGGTCTTACGAAATGTCCAACCTTCTTTGAGAAAATTATAAAGAAAAGATTTCGTAAAGAAGAATTGTTATCTTAATTTATCTATCGTCTAAACAATGGATTTGTACGAGATTTTTACAGAAATTTACTGTATTTTCGGTGTAATTTTACACTAAAACCTGTGTAAACCGGAATCGCATGGTACAGTACCTGACATATAGTAAAAACCTGTCAAAACGAAATATAATTGTAATTCTTATATTTTTACAAATTAAACCTAGGCTATATAGTAAAACCTGTCCAAAACAAAACCTTAATAAGGCGGAAACCTGCCTAAACGGGAGAAAATTCTTCGAAACGCAACGAGTTTGTGTTAAAAAAAATAACCTGTTCAAAATGGAAACTTGCCAAACCGGAAAAGATATTTGATACCGTGCGAGTCCGGTTTACACAGGTTTCACAGTTTTCAGTTATATTTTACTAAAAGTTCAAGCTTAGAGTTGCAGCAACTGATCTAAAAAAGTATTCTAAAATTATCTTATGAATTCTTTGACAGATTGAAAAATTTTTAAATTGCCTACTGAGGACAAGTGCGTGTTTATATATAGGGTGGCCCACAAGTCAGTTAACAGTGTCTTGTTTTACATGTGAAAATATACTTGCAAGCTATCTGTGAATCTAAACTGAGCTTAAACCTGTTTATCAATATGTATTAATTTACATGGTTTTAAACGTAATCTGTCCAAAGCGGAACCTTAATGAAGCGGAAATTTGTCTAAGCGGAAACAATTCTTCGGATCGGAGCAATTTTTTTTAATGTTAAAAAGTAACCTGTTTAGAGTGAAAACATGCCAAATCGGAAAAAAAATTTCGGTACTGCGCCATTCCGGTTTACACAGGTTTTACTGTATTATTTACGCAATTTAAAGCATTTTCTAACATTTCTAGATATTTTAGAAACAGAGAAGATGAATTTAATTAAATTTAAGTTTTAAATCGTATAAATAAACTATAATTAAAGCTGAATTTAGTGTCGATATGGAATTGTCAGTTTTCAATTTAGAGTTATCCTGTCTTAGACAAATGTATTTTGCAAAATTATTCAATTTCTGCAAAATGGAAATCAATAAATCTAGGAGGGAAATGTTTAATCAATAAAATGAATGCGCTGATGTATCTTGAACACGAATTGTATGTGAGAAAATCTTCTGTAACTACATTTCAATCATAAATCTTTTAAGTCACTTTATCTTATTCTTGTACATATTCATCACGCATAATACATAGATAATTATAAGATAAATTACTTTGTTATTAATGTGACTAAATGATTAACAAAATTTGGAATGCTTAATTTATCTTCTCTGCTAAATTTTGATGCTTAATACATCTTCCCTCCTGGAAAAACTTACAGTAAAACCTGTCGAAAACGGAACTTCAGAGGCGATTTTCTATGATAAAAAAGAACTGTTCAAAGCGGAAACTTGCCAAATCGGAAGAAATGTTAGATACTGTGCGAGTCCGATTTAGACAGGTTTAATGTATTTGTAAAAATGTCGAATTATTTAATATTTTTATAGTAAAATAACCTTATATTTAACCATAGATGATCACATATTAAATATTTAGCCTACTTAAAATTTTTAATTATGATAATAAAATGTCTATAGTGTCATACATAGCGATTAAAGTAAAACCTGTGTAAACCGGGATCGCACGGTACCGAATATAGTTTCTGTTTAGACCGGTTTCCGTTTTGAACAGGTTTACTGTAGGCCTATATAAAATAATTTTTATCAAATTAAAATATAGTTAACTAAATTAGACATTTTATCGTAACTTAATTTGTTTTATGTAATTTATTGTCAATNTCGTAGAAGATAACGTCTTTAAATTATTTAAAATTAAAACCAGTTTTAAAGTTACATTATAAACTAAACTTAAAATAGTTTCAATTTTCTTTACTTGCTGAATATGGATAAATCTTAAGAGTGCAATGAACTCATTGTAACTATCAAAATTCAAAGTTATTATGAGTAAGCTAAATCTAATACAAAGCAAGCAAAATGTAATAAATCAGTTTTCACAATATTGTTTTAATTTAAGAAATTCAGACATTATTAAGATGCTATCTATAAGTAAAACACTTAAGCATCATATGAGAAAATACTTAAATATAAAACCAAACTTTGGATATAAATTATGTATTCAACTATTTTTACATATATAATACAGCTGCCTTTCATAATCTTATCTAAATAAGTAGATGAAATTAAAACATGATTAATTGATAAAGAAGATAAAGATCAATAGAAGTACTTAATATTTAATTATTCTAAAATTGCACGAAAAAAAATTTATGTTAATTTTCTTAATATAATTTCTGCTAATTGTTAATTAAATTCATTTCATCTATTTAAAGCAATAAATTTTCCCTAATTGTTTAAAATAAACTTTAACTGGATACATTTTAATGGTATCTATTATAATAAATAAGAGGAATAAAAAACATGTTTTCAAGATGTTTAATTTTATTATTTAAAATTCGTTGGTGTATTTACTATCCTGTTTACTGGGTGGGATCACTTTATTGGTGTGACACACATTACTCGTTCCATTTAAGTGAATCAAATGTTACTTTTAAAGTACTCTTTAATTATTGAATTACTATTTTTTTGCATTTGCAAATTTTCAGAAATAATATACGGCTCCTAATTAATGCGCATCCACTCCTTATACGTATTTATTTAGATCATAAATCATCTAACATAAAATATGAATATACATTTAGGAACATTAAACTCCAAGGACAAAGCAAGATAACATTTATCAAAGAATCACAATTCTTGACAAGCCTTTTAGAGTTTTTAGAGGCTTAGACACGCAATCTTAATTCTTAACCTTAAAATTAATTAGTGTTTTATTTATAGCATTAGCAAACTAAAAAAAATTACACAGAAATTTAATTTATTGTGTTTATTAATTAAAAAACTAGTTTATTAATTATATTTAAAAATTAATTCTTAAAAAAATGCTGTAGTAATAATTATATTTTTTATGTACAGAATCTAATTTGTTATTTATTAATGTAAGCAATTTTCTGCAGGATAAATTCAATTCAATTTTGTAGAAATCTCTTAAAGTGTTGCATTATTGTATCAACAAATGTTTATTTCATAATTAATTATTAAAAATTTAAAAGGCAGATATAATAATAATAAATTCAACCAAAATAAAACTGATTACAGTGAATAGATAATAAAATTTTATAGTTATTTTACTGAATATACCATATTATTTTAAATTTAAGCCATATTTTTTACATTTCCATACTTAAAGTTGGGCTATATTTTAAGTTCGGAGTATTTATCACTCTTTAAAGTCTCTATTAAAAGACAATTTTATAGTATTTCCTGTTTATTTTATACTTTCCATTAATTATATTTTATTTTAAATATATTATTCATCATAATTTTTCCTGAATATCCTTTTTTAATAGTCAGAATGACTATTTAAAATATGATGAATGAAAAAGTATTATTACTTTTTAAAACATGAAAGTAAATTAATTTTAAAAATAAGTATTTGTAATGCTTAAAAGCATGTTTTGATATTTTGTTGATTTCTTTTAGATTTTACAATAAAGTTTTTTTTTGTTTTTCAGGCAATTTACATTGATTAAATGTAACTAAAGTAAAATTTTTGAATTATCAGAATGCTGCTCTCTTATGAAGTACTAGGCTAAAAATATTGGTTAGGATACTAAAAAAATTAAGAGTTTCTTTATATAAATTTTAGTATACAAAAATTTGGGCTTTCTGCCAGTCAAGCTTTTCAAAGAAGTTCAGTTCATTAACACATCATACAATTTCAGACCAACGTACTCTTGACATTTACAATGAAGTTTGTATCTAAATAAAATTTCGCTCTTACAAATAAGCCAATGATTAAATTAAACGATTTGACTAATTTTGAAGTATATTATAAGATGCAATCTGTTGAAAAAAAATTTTTTTTAATTCAAAATAATTTTAAAAATAGAAATATTTATTGATAACTAGTAAAATTGTTAAAAAGAAATAAATGTTGTTAGTGTGCATCTAACTTGACTAAAATATTTATATAGACAAGTAAATTGCAGACAAAATGGTGCAATTTACTATTTTTTCTGTATAAAAACAAAAGTATTTTAGTATTTTTGAATTTTTATAACAACAAAAAATATTTAAAGATATATTCCAGATCATTGTGCAATTGAATTAAACTGACATAATTTTTGAAATTGTTACAAGAAAACACAGTTTTTGTAAGAACTGAATTTACTTTTGAATAAATTTAATTCTTTTTACACGAGTGGGAAATCCTGCTTCGTGTCAGGAGTTGCAATTGTTTGTTTCATTCCTAATTTTCCAAACACAATTTTCTAACTGCATATTAAACAACAAAAACAGTTTACTTCAAAAATNATTCAATAATTTAAAGAAATTTATTAAAAGTATAATTTTGTTCGTTATTAAAATTTATCTACAAACAAATACCTGATACATCTTCTTATAAAGTTGTTGGAAAAAATTTTCTAAAGCATCTGCAAGACTAATGCTTCCACTAATATAATATTTTTCCAAATCATCAAACATAGATTTAAAGATGAAAGAATTTGTATCATATAACATTCCATAAGTCTTTAAAAACATCTCATGAAAATCTTTTCTTGATGTTTTCATCAGTTCTTTAAAAAATTCTATAAAGTAAACAGATGTATTAAATAAGCAATGAAAATATCATTGGGATAAAATCATAAATTTAAAATAATTGAAAGAACAGTAAAATAAAATGCAATTAAATGTATCCTAAAGTTTTTCGTAACCATTTTATATTTTTAAATACAGAATAAATACTATTTAAGTATATATAAATGTGCATACATAATTAACTGATTAACCAATTATAATAAATTAAAGGCTATTACTATGAATTAAATTTATTAGCAAACTCAAATAAAAAAATGCACAGTTTTTTTCCTTTTAAATTTATAGTTAAGATCTCACCATCAAATTTAAGTGTTTGTGTTGTAAATAAGGAACGAACTTGACTGATAGTCTCTTTTAGATGCTCGTTAAATTTACTCTGACTGTGAGTCGTCAATTTATCTTCCATCTCTGTTGTACAGCAAGTCATACTACTTTCACATATGGTAAGATGATCGCCTAAAAATGCAAATTACACAAGATTATTTTTCAATAAGATAATTTTTTTTCAAGTAACTCAAATTGTTGAAAGTTTTTTATTACCCATATGAGAAATAATTTGTTAAAAAAAAAAATATTCTATTTATTCTTTCTCTAAAGGTCACTTAAAACTTGAAGTGGTATTGGTTTACATTAAATATAATTGCCTGAACACTAATTATAGCTATAACTGTTCAAAATAACATTTCATAAACAACAATAAAATATTTAATTGTAAAAACTGTGAAGTAAGCAAGAAAGGAAAGAACCTCCAAAGAAACAGGAAGTTTTATATTATGATGTCAAAACAGATAAATGTGCGAGACAATTGGTTTATTAACCCCCGTTTTTACATATTTATCATTACAAAACAATTGTGTATATTGTTTCGGATAATACAGTACTGTATATCACTTTAAAACTAACTCATACAATTGATAAAAGACATTATTTATACCTAAATAAACTAAAGAATGATAATACAGAATTAACTAAACTGAAAGATTGTTTTTTTGAAACTAAATAATATGAAAAAAATATATATATATTTATGCTTCAAAATTATTTCTGAACTCTTAAATTCAAAAACTTATCATTCTCTTTGATAAAAGAAAAATTAATTATTTATATAGTTAATTCATAGGAAAATTGTATTTATATCATGAAATTTTATATAAAAACAGAAAAACTAAGGTTTAAATACTTCAAAATTGTGCACAACAATCCAGTATTTTTCAAATCTTCTTTTCTTTTTGCACATCATTACAAAGTCAACACCGTTTAAAAAAAAAAAAAAAAGCATTATTACCAAGAAGAAAATTTTTACAAATGATATAATGAATGTTAATGACCATCTTGAAGCTTTAAAAATAAAATGCAAATTCCAATCACAGTGTTAAATTACTATATTTATTTTCAGGGATAAATACTGACAGACAATTTAATGAAACTTCAAGAATTCCAGATAAAAACATTACTGTAATTGAGATAAAAACAATTCTATTTAGATCATTTTTTTTTATCAGCAGCTGGAAAAATAACAGAAAAAATAATATGTTATAAAATTATATATTATGTTTATGATTTTTATAAGTAGCCTAACATTTTCAAAATTCTTATACAAATACAGTAAAATCAATAAACATGTATATATGTATATATATATAATAATTATTATTATTATTAGTGTAGATGTCTGAATCAATAAACATACATAATTTATAGACTTATTCAAATAAATATTTGATTTATTACGACAACTGTAGATGTATAAAAGTACTGATTTATCTTAATTCTTAATGCCTTCTTCTATTGAAAGATTATAATCATATATATAATTTATATTATCAATTATGGAAACTATTTATAGAAATATACTATGTATATATATGCAAATAATGCTTATTCTATAAAATATTCTAGTTATATAGTTCCATAAAATATATTCTACAGCTAGAATGTTTTTCGTGGACTTTTTCGGCTTATATTTTTTTCTAAAAGTGCATGTGACTCTGCAACTTGTATATAATCCTAAATGACAGTTGCCACTTAAAAGAATATTACAATATAAACATATCTCTTTTCTTGTGATTTCCGAAAACTTATGATTATCAGCTCTTCTCTTGACTACCGACTGACATCAAATGTTACCACTCCTAATATTTATCAAAGATAAAAATTTATCTGTTCTTATCATTTGTTAACTCTGATATATTATCATTCTTGTATATTTATATTTCAACAGACTTTCATATTAAATTAAAATTTTTCAAATTTCAAAATATTTATATTAATTTTAATTTCTAATTAATTCTGTTTAAAATTATGATATATTTAACATAAAAAAATCAAACTTTTTACAGATTCTGTGAAATGATTTCTACATAATGAAGTGTTTCATTTAACATGCACCACAAGAGAATAAATTTGAAAGATTACTAATTATGCATATCTCTTTCATGGTCTAAATAAGTCAAATATTTGCAAAGGGACAATATATTTGTATGATATTAAGTATAATATTATATTCTAGACATTATTGATTATTCAAATTTTAACATTAACTTTTGATAGTTAATGTTTATAAGTATTAATATGTTAACAAAATTAAAATAAAAAGAAAATGAGTATTATGAGAATAGAATAGTTTTTCCAAGAAGTTATGCCTAAAAGATTTAAAATTTTTTCTCTAAAATTGAAGAAAGAAATACATTTAATAATACTAAAAATTCAGGTGAATAGCACATGCCAGTATAGTGAAAATATATTTCTATACTGATTGAAATATCCCCAACTGATTTAGCAAATAGAAAAATCATCCAACCGAACAAAGGATGCACAGCTGGCTGATTTACAGTCATTGGCACAAAGTGATAGTGGTGTGATTGTGACAAATATCACATATTGGCAAGCTTTCACTTCTATCACCTATGAATTAACTTGAAAGGAGCCAGATGGCAATAGTTATGAAAGGAAAATCTGGTACTATTGAGGCATAAACCTAAATAACTACCTGGCAGCCATTGCTACATTTCCTAAACTACTCCATCCTATCTAAATGCTAACTAAATTTAGAAAAATTCTAACTTGGAATATTAAACTGTTGTATTTTATAACACTTCTATTGAAAATATAAAGAGTATGACTAGATCAATTTCAGAATCATTTATTCACTCGATTTTAATAATAAACAAGTCAGTTTTAGAAAATCAGATGGCAACAAGCATTATTATAATTATTTATAAATTTAGTAAATTATTTAATTTATTATAATCATTGTCTTTATATTTGTCAGTGATATAAATTCTTATAGTTTTAATTTTCTTTTGTTTTATTATTATATAATTAAAATTATGAACCAAATGTTCTCTTTCTTATTATATTCTGTTTTGTTATGATCTAGACTTCATTTTACTTTTGAAAGACATCATTAACAAGATATCCTAACTATAATATGCTAGAATCAAGACCATTACTATCACTAGAATCAAGACCATTGAAAGCTTAGTATGGGGCCTGAGATAGAGTGGACCCATTTCACCTTTTTTTTTTTTTTTGAACAATAAAATATGTAGAATGTTTCTTTATTAGTAAATACGTAGTCTTAAAGATTTTTCATTTGTTNCAAAATGGTGCAATTTACTATTTTTTCTGTATAAAAACAAAAGTATTTTAGTATTTTTGAATTTTTATAACAACAAAAAATATTTAAAGATATATTCCAGATCATTGTGCAATTGAATTAAACTGACATAATTTTTGAAATTGTTACAAGAAAACACAGTTTTTGTAAGAACTGAATTTACTTTTGAATAAATTTAATTCTTTTTACACGAGTGGGAAATCCTGCTTCGTGTCAGGAGTTGCAATTGTTTGTTTCATTCCTAATTTTCCAAACACAATTTTCTAACTGCATATTAAACAACAAAAACAGTTTACTTCAAAAATAAGATAATATTATTTTTTATATATATATAAATGAATAAAATTTTATTTAATTTCTTGTTCTAAAAGTAAAAAAATGAAAATTCACTTGTAGTGAATTTTCATTTTTTTACTAGTAAATCATTACATATAAAAGAAAATCTACTAAACGAAAATATTTTCAAGAAGTTTTTCATTTGATTTAAACTAATTTAATCTTATTACAATTGTTTACATTAAAAAAATTTTTTAAAAACTAAAATTCATAATGGAAAGTATTGTTATATTTCAGTACCTGAACTATAAACTGCCGAAAGAATTTATTTTAATTATTATATAAAGCTATCAGAATTAAATTTATAAGCTTTGAATTTTACCAAACAAAATACTTCATGATAATAAATCACATACTATAATCTAAACTGAAAATTAATTTAAGTTTTCAGGATTTTAAATATTAAAACTTAGACACATTTCTTATTATTTTTTTACTTTTTAACAAATATTTAACAATTCTACCATAAAAAATCATTCCTTTATGCATCTATTTAATAAAAATAATGTCAAGAACATACATAATAATTAGGATAAATATACAGTATTAGAAATTTACTATTGTTAAATCAAGTCACTTTCAATCAGACAATTTTAAATAACTTAAAATAGTAAAGAACATCAAGGACATTAAAAAAAACTCTTTTTTTCAAATTGTTCAAAAGTATCCAGTAACAATTTAATAGCATTGACAATTGTTACTAATCAAAGATAATTTCTTGAACAGAAAAAAAATTAAAAATATGGATTTTTTTTTATTACTGAATATGCATTTACCAAACAGTTAAATGAAATCTTTGTTGAAATAAAGCATTTCATTTAACTTTACTTAAGTATATTTGCATTTAAAGTAAAGCTGTACTATTTTAATTAAGTACTGTCTGACAATTTCTGTACAACATAAGCAATAAATGAGAGCAGAGATAAAACAATTCCATTTTAAAATTGTGAAAATGAAAATTTGCTAAAAAAAAAAATATTTTAAGTTTAAAAATTTATAAACAATTCTAAAGCAAAATAAAAACAAAAAACAATTTTACTAAATAAATATGCCGTGTAAATGCTTTCTTCTTAAAAGATTAATTCGAGCAATGAATCCTTAATAATCTCGGAATGATCAACAAGATTTACTCTTTATTTGTACGTTTCGTGCACTTTTCTTCGAGAAAAGTGTGCCGGTACAAAACATACAAAATAAGACAACGGACAAAAGGCTATTGGAATAATACAGCGAGATTTACTCTGACAAAACAAATATAATTGGAACCTTTTATGTCCCTAAATATTTCTCATCTCAAAATCTTTTTACTATCCCAAAAGGATTTTATCCATGAATCCTAGAAAAATAGAAGATTGACTTATAAGAAGAAATTTCTCTTTCACATTCTCAAACTTCCCTTCCAATTTTACTTTCAAAGAATCTAAGTTTCTCTTCACATATCACACCATAGAAGAGTCAAGTAAACAATACTAGAATTACTCATCAGTTAGAATTAATCACCTCGGACGTGTATCCTGTTTATCAGAAGAACAGAATTAGATATACTTTCATACATAAAACATCACTGATTAACATTTGAAAAGAAAGGATCAGCAATCTCGGGTCTTAACAGCGTGTTAATTCGATCAATCCTTTGATAACCGATCACAAAACTTACCATTAATAGCTTGTTGAGGGACGTCTTCGTCGTCGAATCCGTTCTGAATATAGACATACTTGACAACAGAACAAGCGATCGAACTAGGATCGGTATTTATATATTTGGCACTACACACAGTACACATCAATAAAAAAACCAATACTATTTTCCGAATACCTTTCATTATCTTAACTTTAAAACTAAAACGGCCCTTCTAGCAATCACATTTTTCTTTATCATCGCCCAAATAAATACTAATCGAACATTTCAGACGATCATCCAACGTAGCCATTCTCCAAAGGGCTGTTACCCCCTGCAAAACGTTTAACGGTGACAGAAATACTTCGAATTAACTTTTTCTTCTACTAAATTCTATTTCACGCTTTGCTATTTAACGGGAGATAGTTATGAGGTGTTAAATTGTGAATTTGACGAAGTATGGGAGTCTACAATGCGGCGTGTTCCATCGCGGGAAGAGCCATTGCATTCCTTTCCTCCATCATGATTCAGGAATGAGGGAAGCATTTGGAGTAGTTGAAGTGGTTGCTGCGAAGGTGTGTTAGTAGTTTTCTCAGCGGTGTGCCGTCTCCTCCCTAAAAGAAAACTGGTCGACGTCTCACGCGCGCAAAATAGGCATTTTTCCTCTAACAAATACCGCATTCAACGTACATATTTTTCCGTTTTTAACAAAGGAAAAACATAACTCGCTTCTGTTAGATCGTCAAAAACTTAAGTTTTCTACAGTCTTTCGCACGAAATTCTTCTAAATAAATTATATTTTTTTATTAGCATTCTCGGAGAATATACATGAAAGGAATTTAAGGTGCTGTCCCTGATTTAACGTAGAAATTCTGATCGCTTAACCGCGATAAGATATCGTTAACGCAATCATCGTAGCGTAGAAAAGAATTATTCTTCTTGTTATATCTCTAGATATTTTAGATACTATAACAATATTTCTATTAAGTAATTACTATTTTTTTATTATTATTATTGTCCTCCATATTTTTATGATGAGATATAGGAGAGTTTTTCACCAAATACTACTTTTTTCTTTAATATCAGATTTGTGTCCGGTTTTTCTTCCATAAAAATTTAAATATTGAAACCTGTTAGATTATTATTATTAATATCGGTTCGATTCTCTTATAATTATGTAGGTTATCAATATAACTTTAAGTCAATCAAACTCCTAAGTAGTTATTAGTCTAGTGTTTTTGTCACAGTCGAAAACTCGCTTCGATTAACTTGTTTTCCAAGTGGAATTCCTTGATAAATATCTAGTTTGAAAGTTCCTCTGCAGTTTTGTTTCTATTTTGTTTTGTTTTTTATTTAGGATTCCTGGTTAATTAAGGGATTTGGTATTTGATTAATTCAAATTAAACGGCTGAATGTGTTAATTTTAATGAAAATGAAGCAACTCTCTTGTGCTTTTTTTCGTATTAGAAATGAGTGATTTTTCAACTGTAATAGATTTTCCCAATGAAAATGAAACAACGCAGTTAAAAAGTATTAAATTAAAGAAAAAAATTAACTCGAAGATTAAGTTCTGATCGAGTTAATCTACTTAAAAATTAATTAATATGCATTTATATTTGTAAAATATTTAGAACTAAGATTTAAAAAAAAATAAATAAATAACATTCCTTCTCGTCTCATAAGTTTGAAAAATCCAGAAAAACTTTGTGTCTCTTGATGTTTGAGTGTCATAACAAGTGGTGATGTATTGTGTCTAGGTTGAAGAGCAAGATCAATCAACCTGTAGCTCTCGAACGACGACATTTTTTCCATTGTTTCCTCACTCTTGATTTTATGTAATTTTGGGTTATAATTATTTTAAAATATATTAATTTTACCTACATATTTTTCACATTAATTAATTTAAAAATTAATGTTTCTGTCATGTTTACAGCAAACTAAACATACTGTGTATGATAAATAAAATCAGATTTTTTTTTTATTATTAAATCAAATTTTCCCAACTCACTGCTTACCTATTAGAAATTCTTTATAATATGGAATTTTTCTTGTTTTTACTAACTCATCTCCTAGCTAGAGGCCCTACCCTAAAACCTGTACACAATATTTCACTGTCTGATTAATATCTATGTGATCAAATCTCATTATGGCAGTTACAACCTCATAAATACTATTATAAAACTATTAATTACTTTCTCTTTTAAATATTGCTCAATCTATAAAATGTGGGAATTTGAATTTATAACTTTATAACGTGACAGAAGTAATTCTATAAGATGCAGGCCTCTAAGCATTTGCAGTTGTTTGAATGCCTTTGATGTTGTTTTGAACTTTGTACAAAGGAAAAACGATTCCCTGCATCGATCAAAAGAGACAAAGCACAGTTTATATTACTATATATATATATATATATAATTTAGTTATTCTTTGCTGTTAAATTATGTTATAGACTAAACCCGGTCGGGTCAAAATTATAATTGTTTGAATTAGGTTTGTATCAATCAATTATACATAAACTAAATAACTGATTTATAATAGCTTTAGTTGGGAATAATTATTGTTTGTGACGGTGTTTAAATATTAAATATAGCTAAACGTTTAGATTAAATTAAAATAAAGCACTGTCAGAGTTTGACGTACGATAAAAGTACCCAATAACGTCATCTACAGTACATGTTTATGCTCTTAATATAAGTGGACAGTGAGATTATTTTCAATGTTTTATGGAGTAACTATCACAAAAATAACACGAAAAATATCTGTGTATTTTTTAAAAATAAAAACAAAATAAAATGTATAAAATTTTCCATGTTATATNTGTTTTATTATTATATAATTAAAATTATGAACCAAATGTTCTCTTTCTTATTATATTCTGTTTTTTTATGATCTAGACTTCATTTTACTTTTGAAAGACATCATTAACAAGATATCCTAACTATAATATGCTAGAATCAAGACCATTACTATCACTAGAATCAAGACCATTGAAAGCTTAGTATGGGGCCTGAGATAGAGTGGACCCATTTCACCTTTTTTTTTTTTTTTGAACAATAAAATATGTAGAATGTTTCTTTATTAGTAAATACGTAGTCTTAAAGATTTTTCATTTGTTAATAAAAGTAACATGATGTTACAGGGGCAGAAACCACTATAGCGTCTAAACCTGGGAAAAATTCCAGCACCCTCTCACGACAACTCTATTTAGAATACCTATCACTAAAGAAATTTTGTACAATTTTACAAAATATCAATTAATTGAGTCAAAGATAAACAGCATTAAAAAGAAAGTCTTCTACAAGGTCAATATTTTTTTATTTAGCTGCAAATTCTCATAATCAGAGCACAACAAAATCCAAGGCATCTGACATTCTAGGTACAAAATCAATAAAAGATTTTACTTCCGGTTACTTTTATTAGCATTTTATATAACTATACTGTAAACTTAAGTAGAAACAAATATATATATATATATATATATATTTCTCCATTATCTAAATATCAATAAATAAATGTTAACTCTTTATCATTAATAGTTATTTCTAACTTACTTTGATTTATTCATTCTTTTAATAATTCAGTTCAATACTGAGACTACAACATTAAGTTTAAACCTGATTCAGTGCTGTACTTTAAAATACTTTTGTCTTTGAAACTGTGCTTTTTTTTTTTTAAATAAAATCATATGTTTAATTTATTGTCAATTATAAAAAGAATACTAGACAATTTATTTTCTCTCCGAACACAAACTAAGAATTGAGTCAAAGTGCTAGCAGGTCAATTACATTGTTTCAGGGGCCATCTACAACAATTGCCTGCTGCTACTGTGGCACTGATGTCACATCACCACTGGCATAAAAAAGAATTAAAAAATTGCACACTTGAGACCTTGGACACTGTCAAAAACAAAACCATGGACTACCCATTTTTATTATATTTTTAATTTCCTCATCTTATACTATGTAAAAAGACAAAATTTAATCAAAATTAACTGATTAAATTTTCATAATGAACTCAATTCTATAAGACACAGAAGAGTCTTCACTAATGCTCTGCCTCAAAGATTTTATATATATAATATGTTCAAAGTTATATAAAAATTAACTATAAATGTAGTGCAGATATATAAATTACACATGAATCAATTTATAATTAAAAATTAAATCAGTATTAATATTTTTGAAGTTATTCAAAACTATTTAACCAATTAGAAACTTCTGAACTTAAGAAGTCTTCACTTTCTAGTTTCATTAATATTCAGTAAAAGCATCTAAATACTGGAATACAGAACATTCACAATTAGAGTTCATTCTATTCTGGTAAATTATCCAGAATCCTATCAGGAGGATTGCAGTTGATGGACAGCCTTAAGATTATCTCTATACAAATTAATCTAATTATTAACTAATATATGACAACATGTCATTAAGCATCATTACATTTTTGGACATGTAATAGTTACATTTATTCTACAAGATAATTTTATATGATTTCCATCTTCTTTTCATCTAATTATTGTAATTACTTTTTCATGATTTTCACTATTACTTTTTACATGTTTTTTTAATTGTTTACATGTTGTCCATTTGTTAGAACATTGGCAATATGCAACAGACCTTTTGATCAGGAGAGGAAAAAAACACTAAAATTAATTCTTTGATTTTAAGTGGAGTTGTCATACTTTGAGACTAATTGGTTTTGCTTCATGCTAATTGCTTTTTATTTTAATTATTAAATTGTAGAATTTAAATTTCAAAAAACAATGAGAAATATATGTAAGTACTTCATTTCAGAAACAGGCTTATTAATGAACAAAAGCAAGTCTACTTTAACAATAAATGAATTTTTATATCAGAAATTATACATTTTTTATTTAATAAAAACATGTAAAATTAAATGTTTGAATATTCAAAAAATTAATTCTGACATTAGTATTATGAAACAGCTTTTATCTAATTAAATAAAGGTAAATTGTCAAAATAATTAAATCTCTGTAAATATTAATTAAAAATTTTTTGAATTTTTTTTCTGAACAAGCTAACAAATTTTAATTCTAAATTTATCAATAACAGATTTACTTTATAGTTTATTTAAATCAGAGTCATTGAGAGGGGGTTTCCACTCCTATAACTTAATGTTATTTTTACTAACAGAAAATAAAATCTTAGTGTTTTTTTCTATCAATAAAAAAATATTTTATATATTTTATTTGTTCAAAAGAAGTCCGCTCTACTCTTGAACTACATATAAGCTCTTGATGGCACTGGTTTAAATGAAATAAAACTATATTTTTAACTTATATTATGTTGTATTTGAATTTTTTACTTTTTAGTAGCTAATTATTTATATAATGTAAAATAACATATATTCAGAATATATTGAAGACATATTCTATATTAATTAAAATACATCTTTCTCTAAATATGAATAATATTCTTTAAATTATTTAAAATTAAAACCAGTTTTAAAGTTACATTATAAACTAAACTTAAAATAGTTTCA